CTTCCTGTCACCAGAGTGCTGGGACAGCAGGTTTGCTCTAATGTTTTCAGTCAGATTCTAGTTCTCGATGTGGACTCCAGTGATTTTCTGTGCTCCTCTTTGTCTATGGCTTCTTTGTGCGCTGGGATGAGATGGCTCAAGCTTGGGAAGCCTCCTGGCTCGTCATGTTTCAGAGGTGCATTTTTGGTTGGTTTCGCTGGATTACAGCATCCTTGGTCACTTGCTAAGCAGTCCAAGAATGCTGAAATTGGTGCACTCTCAGCTTTCTGATGCAGGAATGCTGGGAATGGACGGACAGAGAAGAGACTGAGGAGGCATGCGTCATGGGAGTATCATGGGGGTCTAGGACTTGGGGTGGGCAAAGACACATGGCAACATGGGGGTGGGGTCAGGCTGGGAAGCATACACAGTTCCTTTGACTCTGCTTCCTGAACCAATCAGACACAATTCCTCCACACTTTGAGTGGGTGATGCTGTTGACTGGGAGGACCCCCTAAACACAAAGCACTGGTTGAGAGTTTGAGACAGACAGAAACGAAGCCCCTAGGAAGTTTTTGCAGCTGAACTGTCTGTTGTAGGTTTCTAACCAAACTAGTTCCCAGGCAGTGTCACCAAGCACTGGCTCAGGACTGTCTGTGAACAGACTTAACTCGCAAGGGGAATAAGACACAGACTGGATGGAGTTTATTAGCAGCTCAAAATAACAGGAGTGAATGAGTGAAACCTACAACCAACGCTTCCATTTGAAGACTGCTGGGGTCCATTTTACACCAACTTGATCAAACCAGGAATGTGAGTTCAAGTGGCTTCCTTCAGGCCTCAGGGCCCTGGGCTTTGTCCAGGCACACTTCTCCAAATCAGTCTAGTCAGGCTTCTCTGCCCTTCCTGTCTATCTTAAGTTGACTTCCAACCGAGGATGCATTTCTACAAATTAGACGCTACCCCTGATGTGTCCCTCTGGTGGCCAGCCAGGGTCAGGATTCGGAGGGCAGTAGGCAGGAGACTCATCTTGAAGGCCTCTTTTAAAAAGCAGTTCAGAGGACAGGCTGTGGTGACGTTCCCCGCTCTGGTGTTATGGAGAGAAATGCTGTGCACGAGCCATAGAGTAGCTACTGAAGACATTAGCGGAAAACAGCACCTTGTTCCGCCCTGACAACCACTCTTTGGAAGAGTCTTCTATTATGGCTCCTATTGAGAGGAAACGGCCTTGATAAGCAAACGCAAGGCTACAGGAGTGCGGCTGGCCAGGGTGTGGGCAATGACTCTCTACAGTGCCCCATTTTGCACCACCACACGCTCAGCATCAAGGCTGAGGCCAGTGAGCTGTCCTGCCATGGTTGTCCTGCACTTCTTGTCCTGGGACTGCCTTGAGGTACACAGATTGCTGGATTCCAGTCTGCAGGTTCTGACTGGGTGAGTCTGGGCCAGGGGCCAGGAGCCTGTCTCTGCAATCCGTGTGCAGGTGGAACCTTTCCGGGTCACTGACCTTGCACTTGACATGTGCAAAACAAGAGGTTGCCGGGGTTGATTTGTTAGAGGATCCTGATAGATACTCGGAAGGAACAAGCCAGAGGTCTGGGACAGTGTACGGTGACGTGTACGTAAAGACTGGACCACTTGGTTCACATCCTGTCTTCGTCTGTGACACTTGTACTCTGCTGGCTCCCAGGGCACTATGTAATCTTCAGATTTGCTCAGCTACAACAGCCAGTTCTGTTCTGGTGGGAACCAGGCAGGTTCTCTCTTGCTTTTCAGGTGGATTCTGCAGACATGCTAGTTGCGAATAGTTCAGTGTTGTGAGATAAGTGACCACTCCTGTACATATGGATGCTCAGGGCTGTGCTATTTTTTTTTTACCGGTGAAGACTGTAAGCAGACAAGGTACCCAGCAGTAAAAGATTAAACCACACCCTGGCAGCTCAGTGGCATGGCAAATGCCCAAGCATGTGTGACGATGCCCTAGGCGTCAGCTCTCAATACCAGAGGATGAAGACTGGTTACTCTGTGCAGACATTCCAAACAGTGGTTTGCAGCATACTGAATAATATAAAAAGTGGTCACGTCATAGGGAACAGGTGAACAAGAATCCTATTTATAAAGTTTTGCAAAACAATACAAATAACCCCCACCCCCAAAAAACCCCAAAACCAAAAGGTTAGAATAACATATCTCAATATGGACATGGGCCTTTGGGGATGGACTAGATCACATGGTGTTTCTTTTCTTTTCTTCTATTCCTTTGCATGTAACTAATTTTCAGCAAGAAACAAAATTTTCATATTAAAAAACATCCCGGGGGCGGGTGAGAAAAATCACAGGCAGAAAGCCAGAGTGAGGGTCAAAAGCCTCAGGGAGACAATGCTTTCCCTCCGTGAACAGCCTGGAAATTGAACACACTATGCTGAACTTTCTCCTCCTCATGCTCCTGATGGATCTTGACCTCCCTGGAGAGTACTCAGCATGGAACAATCCTGCCTCAGTGAAGGCTGGGCTGGCCAGTGTCTCCCTGGTAGATGGCTTCAGTGGAAGCTGTGTTCTCAGGGCCACCCTTGGACTCACAAATATACTTGGGATATCTCCTAGTAAACATTTATGGGGCTAGGAAGGTGGCTCAGGCTGTGAAGGGCTTGTTCTGTAAGTCTGAGGACCTGAGTTTGGATTCTCAAGACCGAGATAAAGAGCCAGGCACGGAGGTACAGTAACCCCAGAACTGTGTAGTCCGAAACAGGGGCATCCTTGGGCCTGTTGGCCAGCTAGTCTTGCTGAATTTCTGAGCTCCAGGTTCAGCAACAGAACCTCTCTCTAAAAATAAGGTGGAGAGACATAGAGAAAGACACCCCATATTGAGTGACCTTCACGGGTCCATTCACACACACAAGAAAACACGCACGCACGCACGAAAGCACGCACGTGCAGGCACGCACACACACAGAGCATTTGCCCAACCGAGAATTAATGAATGTCCAGGTTCTAGCTCCTCAGTTAAGCTAGGACTGTGGAGCAGGGTGGACTCGTGGCATTTGCAGGATTTTGGAATTTCCTTGGACACCAGAGTTGAGCGATCTGAGGTGTTCTGTAAAGACCTACTTCTCTCATGAGGATCCCATCAGAAGGAAGTGTGCCCACAGAGTGGAGCTGGGTTCCCGCTGCATCTCCCTAGAGTTCATGCGTGTCTCTCTTTATCAGAGCCTAACTGTAAGTGCTGTGTGGAACTCACTAAGTTACCCTGGATCCTTATCTGCAGAGGGCGGCATGCTGGGACACACTGCCCCACCCCACCTCTTTTGGAGAAAGATTGATAAGCATAATGATGATGTTTTAATGAACTTAATTGCACATTCCTTGTGTTCTTGCCCAGCTGCCAGCCAGCTCCTTCAACATCCAGCAGTGTACCTGTAATAACTCCCCCTCTCTGGGCCAGGGAGTGTAATTATTGTGCTAACCTCATAGCTCAGCTCTTTCTCCCTCCCCTCCCCTCCCTCTCGCCTTTTCTAGCTGTTCTTTCCCTTTCTGGGAATTACTCTAAATGGGTATCTTTGAAAGGAGGGTGGCAGGCTGCTTTTGGTACAGTACTTAACCAAGAACCCTTTCATCAAAGAGGCCCTTGTGAGCATGCTCTGGACGCCAGCCAATCAGATCATCCTGCTGTCTGTCTCTGAAGAAACTCAGGCCCTGGTATGCAAGGCAAGCTGGTCTGCAGACAGGCTGACTGCTCTCCCAGCCTAACCTGTCTTAGCTGACTGAAAAAGGGCTGAAGGGAAATTACCTGTTTGGCTCCAGACGGAATTAGCATTTTTTTAAAACACACACATACAAGGATGTTTATTATTTTTTGTTTAAGAGCGTTTGCCTATCTAATATAGTCATTAATGTTATCTGGTCAGTACTTGAAACATTTTGAAATATGTGCAAATGCAATAAGGCTTCAGGGCCTGGAGGCAAAATAAGATGAATTTTCTAATTAAACGACAGAAAACGGTTTGGGAGTAACGGATGGCCGTTCCGTAATTCAGTTACGGGCGCTGCTCCGTGCAGGGACGTTTGCTCCATGTGCAGGCCTGGTGGGCTGGAACGACCAAGTCTAAAGACTTCTGGGCATCTCTCACCTCTTCCCCACAGACCTGAGTCAAGTCCTGAAGGTGGACAGCGTGGTCCTGGCCTTAGCGAACAGTGACCTCAAGGCAAGTTGGCTCATCTTCTAGCAAATTCTGGGAAACTTCTTGGGAGTCCTAGCACCCGGATCCTATGAACACATTGCTTTTAAGCATTTCTAGTGAAAGGTCGTGCTGAGAAATGCACTGTATAGTCTCTACTTGGGCAACTGTGACGGTCTTCCTCCTTTCTAAAGCCACCCAGGCTAACCCAGTGCCCCCACCTTGTGCGGCCAGTCTCCACTGCACACGTTGACAGCTCCTGAATGCCTGGAGCCAAGGTGACTGTTGGGTGACTGGGACAGAGATGTGGCAGTGGCTGAAAGGAGTGGTGTGGACTGCAGATACTTCCTGGCTGCCTCTGGTGTCCGGGATGACTTTGGATATGTGGAAAACACCAGCAGCTTGATGCCAGTGATACTTTAACAGCAGGGTAACATGCAGCTTACGGAATGACTTTTGTCACACTTTGTTCCCAATATACTTTTTGGAATTCTCTAAAATTTCCAAAATGTATTTTTACTTTTGTAGATAAACAATATGCTATTACAAAAACAAACAAAAACCAAAAAACAAAAACAAACCTTTCTGAAACTAGGCATGGTGGCTTATGACTATGACCCAGCATTCAGGAGGCAGGGGCAGGAAGATTACCATAAGTTCAAGCTCAGTCTGGTCTACATAGCATGCTCCAGGCCAGTGAGGGCTATCACATACTAAGACCATATCTAAAGAGGAGGAATAAATAGAACCACTATGGAGGAACTGAAGGGCACATTCTAGAATTACACAGACAATTGAGGGACAACAGGCCGGCGACAGTCAGTAACAGTAGAAAGGGGCCGGAGGGAAAGAGAAGAGTTTTAATGAGCAGGGGGCCCAGAGATGCACAGCTGGTGTGGGCTAAATTCCTGGAGTGTTAAATCAAGTAATAACAAAAATATGACTATGCTTTACATCGGAGATTTCACGGCTTCCGAGAGGCAGACAGTCCCGCTCTGCTCATTTGTTCCCTCTCAGGGAATGTCTGTTGTTCTGGGCTCAACACTTTTCCAGTGTGTCCTTGTTTATGCAGAAGCTACAAGTCCCAAACAGAATGCCAATCCGATTGTTTTTAGTAATCCTGCTGACATGGTCCTGTAGACTCAGGGGCCATGTCCAGTGGTATGAAGGCATGTGTGCTAGGTTTTCCCTGCCTCTAGCTAGATACTACCTGTGCTGTTAGACTTCTGTGGTTTAGACTTGACCCTGGAATGGATGCTTGGAAACTCTCTGATGGTTTGCTTTGCTCTGACCTCAAGGGTTTCATCCTGGGAGAGTTTTCTTTCTTTTTTATAGCCCTACAAAGTCATGGACATAGCCTGAAATGGAGGCTTTCCCATCTGTGGAGAGAAAGACATATAAAATTCTTCTCATATAAATATATACACAGAGAACAAACTTATTCTTCTCCTTGTTACTTCCACTGGGTAGGTGGAACACGAACCTGAGTGTGGGGTCTACTTCCCTTTGCATGGTCTCTCCTCCCAGACTTGGAGAAAATAGCTAATTTTCATCACCAAATTGATTTGTGAATGGCTGCTGGAAAATGATGGAGAAATTCTTATCAAAACTGCAGAATATGTTATCAAACCCATATTAGATTACAGATAGTATCGGTTTTGTCTCAAGAGTAAAAATTTATCCTGTGGTAGACTGCTTACTATGTTGTTGTTGGTCTGAGATAAATCTGTGTCGGCCAGGCTGGTCTGGGAGTTCATCGCCCTCCCTTTGCATTCCAAGCAGCTGGGTCACAGGCACGGAGGGACACCACTCCTAGCTGGGACAGCCATTTTCTAACATTTGCTTTCAATATACCCATCTGTGAGTAGCAGCTTTGGGGGGAAAATCTCATAAAACAAAATGAGACAAAACAAAATCTAAACTCTGACCCTTTACAGATTTGAAAACAGTGATGTGGGTGATAGCTGTTCCTTCTGGTGGCAGATTGTGGATGCTGTTATTATAATATTCAAAATAGACAAGTTTCTTTGCTAGTTCTTTCACATATTAAAACCTAGCAAAGGAATTTTTTTCAAATAGCTTGTTACTTGATAATTTACTGCTTATACACTCTATGGCTACATGTCACAGGTAGAGTGAGCATGGGGTTTATGTGATGTATACATATATAACAGGTCATGTCTAACTTGATTTATAAAATATGTTTTCAGAATGTATAAACTATAGACATCTCTAGCATAATGGATAATTAGAAAAAAGTTTATGCAAATAAGATGAAGGTTCTAAAAGGCTGAGTTAGACCCCCAAAGTGAGAGAGCCAAGCTGTCCCATCCCAATGCAACTGGTTCTAAGGAGGGAAAGGGTGAGATGGAGGTGGATGGTCTGCTCCAGCATTTCAACTGTCTTTTAACCAGCACAAAGATTAGGAAGTTCTAGAGCCCCAGAAATGTAGTTGGTGAGATTCATGGGCTCCCCCTTCAGCAGCTGTGGATGGTGAATGGCCTGTGAGACAAAGGAATAGGAGAAGGAGGAGGAGGAAGAGGAGGAAGAGGAGGAAGAGGAGGAGGAAGATGAGGAGGAAGAGAAGGAAGAAGAGGAGTGGGGGGGTAAGAAGAGAAGGGTGTGCTCAGAGCTGGGCTGGACTCTACAGTAACTCCTGTCTATGGAGTTCCCTAGAACACAGTGGAAAGAAACTCATGCCTGTATGTTCCCAGGGCCCCTCCATATCTCTGTTAACTTATAGTTCCTGGTTACATATGTGTAGTTATAGTGACACTCTGACTGGTTGTTCTTGACTTAAGAAGAGACACTTGCCATCCCTGAGATCTGAGTTTAAAAAAAAACTACTGTGATAGAGACAGACTTGAACATCTGTAACCGCTTTGGGGTATCTGACTGGATAAGACCAGTTAAGTTGGAGCCATTGGAGAATGTGTCCAACCTCAGTCTAGTCCACTATCATGGGAACTTTCCTGAGCAAAGGGGCTGCCAAGTGCAGGATGTAAGACCCTCCAAAAGATTACAGATGCAAAAAACCATGGAGATCAATGCCATTCCCTTTTGGGGACTCGGTATGAAACCTATGCTTGCCAGTGGCTTGCATTTACCATATTTTACAGTGCATAGTCTCTAGGGTCCACAAGGAGCACCAGACTCCTGCTCCATTTCTTGCTTCTGTGCAGAGATGGACCGTGTCCATGATTTTATTGGTTCTTTGTAAAACAGTGACTACAATTCTCAAGAAACTACCCACTTCACTTCAAGAAGAAACAGACACTTTACATAGTGTTTCGCAGGGGGCTTGCTAGGTAGTTTGTTGTACTACATGGTTGTTCCCCTTTATCTGTCAAGGGACACATGTCAATAAATAAGGCAAGGACTCCAACCGCCTTGTAAGTGATTTAGAAGAAAATGTTCTGCAGACCTGTGGAATGGTGAGATTTCTGTGTGGCTGACCTGTTACCTGTCTCCCTTACCACATATTGCATCTTTCTTCCCCCCTTTAATATGCCTTTTAATACTCTCTCAGGGTGTACACCTTGCTGCCACATAAAAAAACTTGCCTAATGCTTTTAAAACGGCAAGGCTTTGCCTAACAATTGCAAGCATACTATTAAGTGTAATTAATGGAATGAGTAAGCTGCTGTCTGCCTAGCTCAGCCTTGGTGGATCTTGGGCAGAGCATCTACGAGTCTCCCAGGCATCCCAACAGGAGGGATATGTGCTGAGTTCTTACAGCCACGATCTATGGACAAAAGGCTTTCGGAGAAACCATTCTGTACCACAGGTCAGATTTTCTTCTGGTGGAGCCATTAAGCAGAGCTCCTAGGGTCACTCCAGGGAGGCAGCAATAGACAGAAGGAAGTGGCTCATAGGCTAATGTCAAAAAGAAGTTTGAAGAGCCCACACCCCTCAGCAGATCACTGGCCCACAGCTTGCCTTCATCTTCAAGTGTGGTCTATGTTGCTGAGGTTTCTTTTTCTTTCCCAAGCTGTCTTTGGTGGACATTATGAGCGTCTTCAACTAGAGACCATATTCTTTTGAGATGAGGAGTGTGATACTTCTCGTGTCCCACATAGAGTAAAAAGCAATTCCCTTGCAGAGGTGCTTGGTAGGACTAGTTCTTTACCTGCTTGGGACTGGGCCCACTCACACTGAGCAAACCTTGGTTTTTCAATTTGCCTTCCTGGGAGGCTACACAGAAATGCAGACAAATGAGCTTTGCTTAGCTTATCTGGTATCTGAAAAGCTTGGGCTAGATACTTGGACAAGATAGGCCATGTACAGTTTGGTTCGGTCAAAGCCCTCTACTTCTTGCTGTGTGACATCTGGCTAGCCTTGTTCCTGCATGTTCCTATGTCCCTCAACTTCTGCGGGTATCTGGCTTGTCATCTAGAAACAAAGGTACCCTCTGCAGGATCTTTTCATAGTTAATTATTAGGCTCTGCCATTAGTATTAGCCGACAGCATGGAATTATGAGCACCTACTGTGTGCCTGACAACAGTAGATATGGGGTCTCAGCGATGACTGAGGCCACCCTCTGCCTCTAGAAGCTTATTTTCTGTCTACACTTTAGCACATCTGTGTTCCAGCTGAAGAAATACAATCCATATTCTCAGCAAATCCCTCTTGAGCTCCTCAGCAGAAGGTGTCTACGGCACTAATTCTTCCTTAAATAACAAACATTTTCTACCAAACTCCAGCTAAAGCGCTGACAGTAAACTTATAGGGCCATACAACCTCCAACACCATAGTTTTCCTCAGACAATGCGGGGAAAGCCAAGCATCCAGGAGGTAACAGTAAAGAAGAGAACAGGAGAGAGCATGGATTTATGTGTTCACAAACCTACCCTTAGAGAGGGGAAAGCCAGTGGGAACTTTCCATTCTCTTCTTGGATGTGTATGTAAGCAAACCCATGTGACACGTGTGTCTATGGAAACCCCTGCTCTCTCAAAGACAGCAAGGAGCTGAAGGCCATGTCTGCAACGGCAGTGTTCATCCTTCATCCCTTTGCACAATATCTAATTACAGGGATGCTGATAAAATTATGCATTCCTAAGCACAAATTAAGGCCATTCTACAGGAGCCTTCATGTGCACACTTGGTCAGACTTCATTAACAACCAAACAACTATGGCTGACTTGGCTAGGTCTTCAGGGTAATCAGATGTAATGTTTCCTAAGCTGGAATTCTCTTGAACCTTGGGTTGAGGCTGGCAAAGAACCTTTGGTGAAGGGAGCATTTCCTTTAGTTTTTCCCCAGTCGTGCTGTAAAGTGGAACTCTCAACTCATTGCTCCCGTGGCTGTTGCTCAAGGCATGCATTTAAACGGCAGCCTTTCCCTTCCAAGCAGAAGCACCAGAGGCAGTTCCAGAGTGGAGGCTGAGCTGCTTTTGGAAGGAGAATGAATGTGTTACAGATGTGGTTGGTATCTTCTCTCTATGCATCTGACTGCCCCTCTCTCTCTCTCTCTCTCTCTCTCTCTCTCTCTCTCTCTCTCTGGAACCACTAGCTGGAAACTAAGTGGTTTTGCTCCTGTTTTAATAGTTTTACTCCACACTTATGAATCTATAAATGTGCCGTCTCCTACATGCTCAACGCTGAGTGATCGTGAGTCAGTGGGCAGCTTTAGGATGTGCCTGTTTATTTTGACTGGTATATAATATTCTAGTAGGTGAGCCTTTCTTCAGAACTGATGAAGATTTACTTTTGAATTCTTGTTTTTCCAGCCTCTTGTCAGTACCTCACAGACCACATTACAGCTGAAGTTTATGAATAGGGGTACCCAGGCTCCTCACTTCCTAATGTATTATTATTGGCTCAAAAGCATCTTTGGGGAGCATACCTGTGAGCCAGGCTTTGTGCAGTCTCCAACACCTGGTTCCTTAAATGTCTTCTCCTTGACTATGTTCTCAGCCCTGAGGTACTGATCCACCCACAGAGTGAAGCAGAGACAACACGAAGAACCAGGAACACAGGGTCATCCTCCAGCTTGCGCCTCTCTCCCATGGCCTTCACATAATCTTGTCAAGGGCTAAGCAGCCGAGTCAGTGTTTGTAGCTGGATTCAGGTGGCCCTGCCTGGTTATGGCTCCACTTAAGATTCTTCTGATGAGACAATGGTAAGAAGCAATACACTCTCAGCAGAACCCCCATGTGGAATCTGCTCTTCTCTCAGCAGTAAGCTGAGTCAGCACTGAACAGCGAGTGGGAAAACTACCAACTCACAGCGGACGTGCCCTTAGGCTGGAGGCTCCCTGGATCGGCTGGCTGGGTGTGTTAAGTGCTCTTTGATTTGTGATAGTTTCACTTTATGAAGGGTCTCAGTTGAGGAGCACTCACTTGGAATGTGGGGTGCGAGTTTTGGCAGGCTGGGCCT